GGAGAAGGCTGCATTGGACATTTCATTGGTACTAAGAGAAAGGTTTGGAGAACGTGATGCGGTAAAGGGAGAGAGGGAAAGAAAGCGCGGTGTTCGTCAGTTTGATTTGCTCGCAATTTCCACGAAAATGTGTGTGTGTGTGTGTGAGCACGTATGCGCTGAGGCCCCATAAGGTGACGAACAAACGCAGAGGCAGACACATGGGGAAAACGGGACGGGAGAGAACAAACCTAGACAGGACCAATCAGATTGGAGAAACACTGGGGAAAATTGGCCAACGAATGTACTGGAAAAATGATGACGCTGGTAACCAGACCAACGAATAGTTCGGATGCGGGACAAGTGTGAAAACAATGATTATGCTGAATGGAAGAAAAACCACAATTACGGATAAGACAACAACACCAGGAACCAAAGAGAACGATAAACGGGTGAACTAGGAGGAGGAGGAAGAGAAAAAGCAGATTGTGCATTGCCCGAGGAAGGTCAAAAAACGAAACCCGGGGGGGGGGGGGGGGGTGCGGTTGAACCGAATGGAAGATGACACTACACTGAGCAATTGACCATGACAACGCTGACCCCCCAAAATATACATACAAGCAGGCAGGCAGGAAGAAGGATGGTACTTGAATGAAGAGGAATATGAAAGAATCGGATCACATAGAATTTAGTTGCTCCACGATCGTCAGAGACCGTGAACGGTCGGGAAGAGAAAAACGAGTGGACGGACAAAAGGGTAACACGGAAAACTCAGTTGGATATGGGAGCAGATAAAGCGAGCACCCATATGGACAATACGGTACAAAAAGAGAGGGCACATGTAGGGCTGCGAGGGAAATATGAGGCCGGTTTTTGCGGATGGGAGTAAATGCGATAGTCCTGATCGTCACAAACCCAGGACGACAACGGACCTGATGATGATCATGATGATGATGTGTGGATAAGGGAAATACAAGAGACACAAGTGTGCAATTTAGTGGCTCGATTCTGTTTGAGCTGGTTGCCGGCAGCAATAGGAGTTCATGCATGCAAGAATATAGAAAATGAAAAAAAATGAATTACAAGACGCAAAGAAAACTCGCTTGTCCCCGGGGGAAAAACAAAATGCAAAGTACAAAACCAACCAGCCAAACGAATAGACAGAGAAGTTAAAATAGAATAACGTGGAGGTAGACATACAGCATTGGTGCGCATTCACGAGCGACAGTCAGTGTTTGTTTGTTTATTTGTTTATTTCGATGTGTGCGCGCGCGTGCGTGTGTGAATCGAGTTTGTCAACTGACTTGCGGTATTTGTGACGAGCGGAACGGGAAAAGTACAAGAAGCCCGCAAAAGTGTATTCGGTTGTATAATATGAGTGCAAAATCAGAGACCACAGCAGTGCAATAGGATAGGTGGGTGAATGAGAGGATTTGTCTGTTTGCTTGATTGATTGACAAATGGACGGATGAAATGTGGGCGAAGAAAGCGAGCTGGTGAAAACAAAGTAAATTACGCTTCTTCGACAGAGTAAAATAGGTGCTGTTCGAGGTAGTAGCCCTCTGTGGTTAGTTAGTTTTTCATTTGGTTCTGTACACCTTCTAACACACACACCGGAGTGTGAAAAAGGAAGAAAACAAGACGGAGCGAGAAAAGGTGGATTGAATGATCCATAGCAAATGGAGTGTCAGGCGGTGGCAGCGGCGGAGAGGGGTAACACAGTGAAATTTTATGATGTATCGCTTATGTCCACCATCAATTTGTCCGGCAGCGTCTCCGGTGATGAAGACCGGGATCGTGATAAACGCCACTGCTTAGTTTGATTTGCAGCAGTTGTGACTGAGGCCG